TCTGGGCCCCTCATATTCTAATGTCCACATTACGTAGTTGGTAAGCCAGTCAGCTGAGCCTTTGAGGATAAATGCAGCAGGATGTCCAAACCTGAAGCCTCTTAAAGTAGCTTCATTAATGGGCTATGTACCCGGCTAAAGCCAAGCTGTGAACAACTTCTTAAAATGATTGTGTGAGTGCTAATGTTAGACTTTATCTAGATGCAGCTGTCAGCAATAGTGGCTGTGAAGCCATTCTGCAAACAAAAGGAACTGTGGCTCTGTACAAAGATCTGGTCACAATTCACATCATGTCTAACTGGGAAGTACATGTTGGACACATTCTCCAACTCAGTTATCACTCCAATGCCAACAAAACGCAAAATAATACAGCATTATTCAGACTATTACTCTAATCCTTTGCTACTTGTTACTGACGAAAATCATATTCCCTTAATGCGTAATGAGCTGCAGCGCAAAACTGTAGACAGCTGATGACAAGTGAAGATACATGACACTGACAGATAGATGGAGCAGGAGGAGCTGGGCTTCAGCTCAGACAGGCACAATAAAATCTGTGGACGGCGACGCTGCATTTCACCACATTTCCACTTCCATGGAGAAAATTGCCTCCAGTAGCACAACAGCAGCCCTGACTCCTCCCTCCTGATAAGAGGAAATCATTTTGAGATAAACAGAAGTAATCACACCGCAGCTATATGCGTATAACGCCACTGAAGTTTGCCAAGTCTCTGAGCCATTCACAAGCCTGAGAACTTCCAAAAGCCCATCAAGTCTTCCACCGTGATGATTAAAACTAAAATTCTGTCAAACACCTTTGCAAGTTTGCTTTAGCCACGCTGCCAGTAAAAGCCATCGAGATGAACAGAGTGACTGAGACTAACAGCCAAGGCAATTAAAATTTCTCAAAAGCCATCAAAGTGCTGGAATATCGGGGAGGAAAGGCCTTATTGACTTCCACCTCAGCCGGGCCTGCTCCGCTCTCACAGGCTGCTCTGGCTGATTGAATGTGTCTACGCATTGATGCTTGACCCATCCATTTAAATGAAAGAAAAATAGCCTCCTGTTGGCTGTTTGTAATATGTAATCCATCTGATGCTTTAATGTGTTCTTCAGAAAGGTGAGGAGTGAAGCATGGTCTGCACTTTATCACTTCCATCTGGTCATTTTTATCCATTTCCAACTAACAGCATTAATTTCTCTTCAGCCAAACAGACAATTAAAGACCAATTGTTGAGCGTGTTGCTTCAGAAATGTCGTCCGACAGCTTTGAAAGCTTGTAACTGGCTGGTAAACGCTGTGGATGGGTTATACTAATAGATATCTGCAGCGTTTCCTCCTTTGTGAGAACTGGCGTTGAACAGTCCTTCTTCCTTTGCCATCTCATTATCATGAGCTATAATTACAGTGTACTCATTTTCTTGAACAACGTGTAGCCATTATGCAATTCACCATTGTTCTATTAAAGAATCTGGTGTTATTTCCTCCAGAACAACCACATTTCATCATTGCCTTTTGTGTGAGCACACGCTCCATTTTCTCCATTTACAGCCTTCACATTTGCCCCAGGAGAGCTGTGTGTGTGTGTCAGGCTATTTTCTGTTGGATTAACACTGAGCTGGATCCACACCGCTACACACCGAGGACCCCCGCACTACATCCTCCCAGTAGACCATGAAGGCCCACCTTCTCGTGTCAGCGCCCATTTTCAGTGTGGTCTTTTCAAGCTTACCTCCTTCTGACCCCAGTTTCAGGCTGTTTGGAGCTGCGTGTCAGCGCCGCTCAGTGTAGTGAAGTTTGCTCACGTGGTTTCATTTCAAGATGAAATTACCTCCTTGCTCTGGCTCCTGTGAGCCCCAACTAACAGGAGCCAGGTGCGTTTAAACAACATGCCAGGTTTCACCTCAGCAATCACACATCTTGTAGGTGAAGCAATGGAGCTGAGGTAAGAGAACTCCAAACACACAGCAGCTCCACTTTGATACTGAGGAATTTGCCTGAAAACAGCAGAAACACAAAGCGAGGGAGCACCTCCTCATGTTTTTCCCAATAAACATTAAAGCTGCATGGCATTACTTGTTGGCAGCTCCAAAAGGCAGGGGAAGGGAAATGTTAAAACTACAGCACCTGTAAATCTGACAACAAACTGCAAGGCCCAGTCTTGATGATGAACACATAGAGTTGTTTGTGGAACCTCAGTGCCTTTAAATGTGTTCACAGCAACAGATTCAACGTCAGGAGTTGTCACTGAACCATAGCAGCCCAGAGTTTGCTTCCAACTTAGGACCTGAGCTGCATTTTATTCCCAATCATCTTCTCCCTTCAATCAGGTTTTATATCCAATAAACACATAAAATGTCCCAAAATGTGTTTCAAACAGAAAAGCTGCATTTGATCAGTTGTTTTCCATTCACTTCATGGATCACTGCAACCTAAACCAGCTTTAATACTAAACACGCATTTGACAAGTCGATGAGTGTCAACTGATGCACTTTGTGCTTATTAACATTTATCTGATATTCTCTGCTCAAATCAAGATTTTAGTTCAGTTTTAAACATGTCATTTGAAGGGCAAACTAAAATATAAAGTTAGGTGTTAATACCAATAAAAACAACAGCCAGCCCTATCTGAGGAGACTAAAGAGCTGACGAAGCAGTTCTGGTTTTACTGACGAGATCTGCAATGATTTGTCAATTAGGTGACTGTAAGTTGTTTTAACTCGTTTAATGATGTCGTCTTTTTTATCAGATAAATTACAAAGTTTTCAATCTTCAATGAAGCTTAAACTGAATATTTTGGTCTTGAACTCACATTGGAAGAAGACATCTGGGATACTGGAGCAAATGGGATTTATTATAATTTCCTGACATTTTATGTAGGAGTCATGTGATGTGGTTTTTCAGGGCTGATGTCGATACAGAATATTAGTAATCAAAGAGATCAATAACAGATATTTGGAACCAATAAAGATTTGCAGTAAAATTAAAATATTCATGTCAAAAGTTTAGGATAGGCTGTTACTCATGATGCACAACCAATCAACATGTTCATATTGGTTGCATCAAGCCAAAGTATTTTATTTTATTTTTTAATTAACTTATTTTATTGGAAATCAGTTTAGATATCTAACAACATCTCGTCAATCTGAAAAATGCTTAATATCCGATCCAATAATCAGCCGAAACTACACAACGTATGTATTTAATTAGCTGTTTGTTAGCAATAATTTCAACAAACAAAAATAGACAGATTCATAAATCCTAAAAACTGCTTTCAGTAGCAGTCCTGCCACTACTACTGGTAAGATACCGTACTTTAACAAATATAAATATATCAAAACAAAAGAAGCCATGAAAGAACTTTGCAGAGATGTAATCCACACAATCTGGATTTTAATCAGAAAAAAATGTGGTCAAAGAAAAGATTTTGATTCTGACCAGATATTCAGTAGTTCAGTGTCAGTATTAATAGCAGTAAAGAGAAGTACATAGGACTAACTCTGTCTTTACCGATTATTTCTGTGTGGAATCATTTGTCATCAGTTTCTGTTTTTGTTGGCAGAAAAATTCTTCCAACAAATGAAGTGAATTCATGCCATGACTACTGAGACAGTCTCCTCTGTTGTTCCATGGAGGCTCATGAAACAGGTGGCTTGCTACAATAAATCTTGCCCACAGAATCCACTTGATCCTGGAGAGCAGGGAGTGGCTCAGTGCACGTCTGTTCAGCAACTGCCGTGGGTTGTCGTGTAACTGATACCATGTACCAGAGTATTTATAACACAGCTACAACGCTCACACGAGTGGCAGTGCGGTCTCAAGGAAAGTCAAATGGCACTTTCACTTGAGACAAACTCGACACGGGTGTGACCAGAGGCGTCTTTTTTCTAATCGTATTCCAAAACATTCCTCAGAAGATACGGTTCGGAGGCCTTTTGATATCTTCCCCATTGCTACGGCCATTCAAATGTAAAACTAGCCACAGGCAAAGTGCAGAGGATTTGAACTCTCGTCTCAGATAGGCTCTGTGGATTTCAGGTATTATGGCTGAAAATCTCAGTTTTCCTCTCTGAGAACGCTTCAAAACTGTCTGTTAGAGTTTGAGTGATACAAACAAAGGATATGTGGATCAGCTGTCAGTGCAGTTATTTGGGGCACAACACTGACATTACTAATTCATCTTTTCTTCTCCTGCTTTATTGCAACAGAAATCACACTTCTCCTGATTTCTGCAAATCCAGAACAGCTCAGAGGACTGACTAAGCAACTAACTGAACCGGCCGACTACATCATGCTCTGCATCAGTAACACAGTCATGCAGGATGTTCCAGCAGTGCTATTAACATGCAGGCATGTTAGCAGCACATTTCATATACATCAGCAATAACTCATGCAAACAGGGAAGACTTAATCACTGAGATGGAATTTAAATGTTCTAGGATGACACACTAGAGGAGAAAACAGTGTTGCTCCACACTGAAGCCTGAACAATGAGAACATGACAGTGACCGTGAAGATGCTGAACAGACTGGACACACATGGAGAGAGAAAGCTGGTGTGTGTTCAACATCCAGATCATGAATCCACTCTTATCTTCAGGCTGATTTTTACAGTTTTGCTCATCTGATCGTAAAAAACTGGAGATGCTCTGAGAAAGTCTCACTCACACTAGACCTGGTGATGAAATGATGCTGTGAGGATCAGGCAGTGCCACATTCAATGCCCACTGGAATATTTCACAGAGAAAGTTCTCAGCACTGAAGCCAACAGCAGCAGATGTGAACAGCTGAACATCCGACACAACTTTTTAAGTTGGGCAACAACAGACAGAGCAAAAAAAACTAAACAACAACAATTCTGACTTCAACATATATGACTGAGCAGCAGAGAGACTTTCAGACTTTAAACCCTGACAGCCAACTTTCAACCAGCAGCTCTCCGTGTGCGGAGCTTCACGGCTGCGTCTCGTCAAATTCAAGCAACGCTTCTCCTGTTTTTACCTGTTGGTCCTTCCATGCTGTCTGCGTAGATCCGGACGGTCAGCATCAGTAGCAGTGCTGCTGAATACATGTTGGCAGGAGAAGAGATAAAGTCCGTCTTGTCTTGTCAGAAGAAGCAAATCCTAGAGAAAACTCCAGCAGCGGCAGCAGCGGCAGAACTGGAGAGAAGTTGTGCGCTGAGCTCCATGCGCGTCCGGCCGCTCTGCTGCCTCCTCAGCCCGCACAGGGAGCATCTATCTGCAGCTAGAGCTTCAAAAAGAGCCCCGTTCCTGTAACGGCTCCGCTACTTTCCTTCTCTTTTTTTGCTTTCTTTTTTTTTCATTCTGTTTTTTTTACTTTGTGCTGTCAGACGAGCGAGGGGGACGCAGGAATGCGGGTCAGCTGCGCCTCCATGTGGTCAGGAGGTGAATCTCACCTCTGATCCGTTATCTGCACGAAACCAATCAGTGTTTTATGGAAGGTTATTTCCACACGTAAAAGAAAAAAATACATGTCATGCTATTCAGAATACGTATGTAAGTGAGCATCCAGATTTAATTTTGTTTTTTATATTAAAAGCCAGAATTCTGAATAAGAAAGCCAAAATTATGCATTAAAAAAGCAACGAGATGGATTTAATATAAAAAAAAATTAAGTTACATAAGGATAAAAGTCCTAATTATAAGACAAATGTCAAAAATATGAGATGAATATCAAAAGTATGACATAAAAAAGCCTCCATTCTGAATTAGATGGAATCAAAGTGATGAGATAAATGTTCTGAGCTGTGAAGTCCAAACCATGAAATGATTGATGTACATCTCTCAATTTATGTCAGACAGTCAAGATGAAAAGCCTAAATGCTGAATTTGAAAGCCAAAATCATGTGTTCAAATGAGATAAATATCAAAACTGTTCCCTATAAAGTCCAAAGCATGAGGTACGTTTCACATATACAAGATAAAAGAGCATCGCTTTGTTTCTCACCATGCTTTTCTTTTCTTGTTCTTTTTCCTGCAGTGGCAGAAGCAGACCTTCAACATTTCTACACACATTATTAAACATCCAGTCAGAGACCACACTGTCACTTCAGAGGGGACATTTTTCCTCAGTGTTCCCTTTTAAGTGCATTTTTGGCTTCCAAAGAGTCTCATTGCTGCTTGGCTCTTGGTCTCCATTATTATGCTCAGATTAAATTCTGACTCACTTCTTGCTGAGGTATTTAGGCAGTAACACCTTGCCAAAGGCGAGCAGTGTCTGCACTCAGCGGTGGTATATATTTTTATGAATATGAGCTGCTCTCTCTGACAGTATTTAACACGCTGGTTTGTGGCAGCAGGGTGCTGAAGTGATAAAGTGGGACTGAGCTCTACCTGGACAGCTTGGGTTCAAGCCACAAATGAAAGGCCTGCAGCAAAGTCAGCCGCTGTCTTCCTCTGTCCAGCTCCAGCAGCGCCGTCCTCCAGCTGACCTCTGACCTGGCCTATAGGGTTTGTTTTAATTAACAGGTATCTCCTTGTAATGTTTTAATTATACTCTGAAATTATTTGTTAAATAAAGATGACAGTTCATTCCTCAGCACAGATTTCTAAGTTTGGTTATTGTGCCTTCATACTGTAAATGTGCACCAAGTATTTAGTAACTTTCAGAGGTGAAAAGTAACGAATTACATTTACTCGCATTACTGTAATTGAGTAGTTTTTCTGTGTACTCACAACTTTTTAAGTAGTTTTTAAAATCTGTACTTTTACTTTTACTTAAGTAGTTTTTTTTACTTAAGTATTTTAATTTGCTACATTAACGCATCCGCTACTGAGTAAAAAAAAAAACATCTGCTTAAATAAAAACAAACATTGTTACAGCTGCCTGTCAACCGCAAATAAACACCACAGAAGAAGAACTAAAACAAAACCGCAGTGACTGATGGGCAGGAAAGCTAATTGGCGCTAAATCACATGCTAGATGGAGACGAAGGAGACGGAGGAGACAGATAAAAGATGTGCAGACCTTGGTGCAGGCGAAACGTCGCATTCTGTGACAGGAAACAAAGGGAAACCCTGGACACGTTTAAGGGACCAGTTTGGCTTCAAGTGCAGGAAAGACCACAGCTTCCTCCTGCAGTGTGAGCTGTGTGTGTCCAGAGTGACTGAGCCAGCAGCTGTAAAAACTCCACATCAAACCCACGCAAACACGTTGAGGTTAGTCAAATTTAAATAACATTTGTGCCGTTGTATTGGTAGTTAGAATTACGTATTCGCTGGAAATATGACACAAAGTCCGTTCATGTTGTCATGCTCTCTGTGTTGGTCTCTGTATTATAGATTTATCTTTAGAGCCGCCTGTTCTCGGGTCAGAGAGGGAATGGTAATATACAATATCCATCCATCCATCCATTTTCTATATGCTGCTTATCCTCAGGAGGGTCATGGGGGGCTGGAGTCTGTCCCAGCTGACTCAGGGTGAAGGTAGGTTCACCTGAACAGGTCACCAGTCCATCACAGGGCCAATACACAACATGTAGTAGAAAATACAACATCCAACATGATGCTGTTTGGTCTTAAACATCTTTTGGTCTGGAAGCAACTTGAACTGTTGGTTGGGGTATCGATTAGAAATCAGCTGAACCTGTCCTGAGCTGTGGCAGTGAGAATGGCTGAGCTGTAATGTAGTGACCCAGTCTGTACAGGACACCTTCATCCTGGTCCTTTAGTCTCTACAGGGTCATTCTGAAGGGACGGCTCACACTTCACAAGTTGGTGGATAAATAGCTTTTCATACATCCTGTGATGGTCACCCAGGCCTTTTATTTCCAAAATGATCAACACACTGCAGGGTGAAGTGTGGCCAGTTCTTTCCTCTACCTGTTAAATTTGTGCATTGGCCCATGTCCACTTGGCTGTGGCTTCAGATGGCATCCAGCCATCCTGCTGCTCACTACTGGACTAGTGGCTGCTTCAAACACAGGAAGAGCAGGATCAAGACTCTTTATCACCTCCTGCCTATGAAATATTGATTTATGTAGCCCCAGGGCTTTTAACTTGTGTCTGGGAGATATTTATTTTCTCAGAAGATGGCAGTGGGGAGGGCATATTGTGAGCTTGCTTCATTTGCCAGACTGTAATAATTTAACGTAAATGTTTAAACTATTGGGAGAGGTTGATATATCGATGTCAGCGAAACAGTATTCCACATGCCCTTCAAATCTAATAACTTCCTCCATGCTCACGTTAACAGCTCGCTCATAAAGTGCTTATTTTACATGTTATATAACCAGTTAATTTGCCTGTATTAATTCTGCTGTATTTCATGTCAGCTGTGTCACCCGTAATATATCTGGAAACTATAAAGGTGGTAAGCTCAGAGCTCCAGCTGGCGATCATCATCAGGCAAACACCCACCAGTAGGAACAGAAATCAGTTACACTGGCATGGAAGCATTCATTTATTCTTCTTATATGCTTAAAATACTCTATTTGGGAGGGCTGCATCATTTTAATTCTTCTTACTAGCCTGTAGGCAAGGTCTAAAGTTGAATTGAAATTTGAATTCTTGCCACTTCTTGTAAAGCGAAACATACTGTTTAAAACACTGATGCTATTTTTTCTGTTGTTTCAAAAAGAGGATAAAATCACAATTGGACATGTTTAGTGTTTGTAGGGCTTAAGCCTCTAACTTGGCATTTACACTGATATCAATTGTCCGAGAGCGAGGAGAGAAATATCTACTATGGAGTGCTACAAGCAGGAGAATGGAGCATCATATAAATGACGAATGATTGTCCCACTTATTTTTTTAATAAGTTAATAGTTCAGAGTCTCTACCTGCCAAAGTCTGTCCTCTCCCAGCACTCCGGCCACACTTGGAACCCTCTCTGGGAGTCTTGTTGTGTAATG